GTTGATGGCGTACCAGTTTAGGGTTTTACCACTTTGTTTGCCACATATTACCAATGTATGATTTTTTGTGGTATTAATCCAATTTAACGGAATGTATATTTGTTACAGGTGAACTAGTTTTGGGTTTTTGGTGATCAAAAAATTAGTTTGTGGTTAATTTGTCACAAGTGTACCAGTTTGAGGTTTTTGGTGGTAAAAAAATTAGTTTGGGATAAATTTGTCATAAGTGTACCGATTTGGGGTATTTCGTGGCATTAACCCTATTAAATTTGAGTATATCAATATTTATCGGAGCACTTTTTAGGGATGGAAGCGGGCCGAGAATAATAGGGTACTGGACCCTCTCGGACCCTAATGAGACATAAACAGGGTTTAAGGTCAATTGTTATAATCCCTTTACGATTTGGAGACAAGTTTGAGATTTTTATAATTGGAAAATGAAATACGCGAACTCAATATGTATAACTATGACAAGGCTTTTTGTTTCGTTACTAAATATTTTCAACCAATATAAACGATCATTTATAGGAAAATAGTTTTTTAGAAATAAACGGATCCTAAATACCCGATTTTTCAATACGACTTTTCAATATGAAAAGTTTCATTAAAAATTACGCATCTGGGCTGTGCCCCTAACATTATTTGATAGGTGATCAATCCAAGGCGCGATTGTTGTCATTATTTGAAGGCCAATGTGTCAATAAAGCTCCACGATCGTGATGGACTTCTCTTGTCTTTCATGTGTTTGTTTAGCTTTTCTAGTTGTTGTTACCCTAAAAACAAAGAAAGCAGGATCCCAGTTAGCTACTAATTAAATGCAAACTACTAAGAAGGCTTGTATAACTAGCTCTATCATGTCAATTATCGTCCTTCATCACCAAAGAGCACAAAAAATAATAATTATTCAAGCTCGTGATATACGGTTTTGTATTATCCTAAATAGTGTGACTAAATGCACGCCTTTTCAAGGCAAATCGCGGTCAAAAGAAAAAAACTCACTGGTCGGTACTTTAATTAGTCAGTTCAAAATTGACTAATTATTTAGAATCGCGAAATCGGAGCTATAAGCCGATAACCTCGTATGTGAGGCAAGGTGCCATCGAAAGAGAAACACCTATTGAGCCGAGAGCTTAATAGCTTAACAACTCAAGAGCCGACGTTAGGTCGCGAGATTTGGCGGGCACGAGATCTAGTTCTCAAGGGTTGACCAGCCGAGGCCGAGATCTGGTGGTGTGCCAAGGGTCAATCGGCGGAGATATGGTGCAACGAGGGTCAATCAGCACAAGATTTGGTTGATAAGGGTCGATCAATGGAGATTTGCTGCGACGAGGGTCACCCGTCGACACTCGAAGGTTGAGGCTCGCCTGGTCGACGATGGCCTCTGGTTAGTGTGATGACCTGGAGATGAACAGTAGTAATGGTAAACAATGAAGAAGAAAATGAACATTGACTAAAGCAGAGAAAAGAGAAGAAAAAGAAAGAAAATTGAAAATAAAAATGAACCAAAACGTCGTCATTTTGTCTCCAATTGTCCACATTAGATCGCCAATCGTGTCACATAAGACACCCAATGATGACTAGACTCTACGGTAGCAATTTCCGATCAAAGTTGGTTAAAAGGATTGCATTGAAAAATCATCAAAAGGTTTAGGATTACATTGATCAAATTGAAAATTTTATGACTACATTGACAGTCGCACAATAAATTTAGGATTTTTCGGATAATTTTCTCCATACGCTAATTTGATAGTGGACCTCAAGAATCGACTCAAGAGCCTCCATGGGGCTTGGAAAGGATGAATTCTCCATCTTATTCAACAGTTCATTGTCAAAATTATAATAGGGATGTACTTGTGGTTCAAATAAATGCAGATTTGGCACCCAAACATTGGATTTTGACCAAAATCCAAGAGTATCAGCAGACCCTACTTGGGGGTACACAGGATTTTTCACAGAGAGCTTTATTTCTGCAATTCGGGTCCTCCTGTGTCTAAGGCATGCATTCCTATCAACCCATCAATTCATCCAATTTCGCGTTTTCTGATGCCACGAGAAATTTTGCCAAAAAGACAAGTTTGTCAACCATTTGGTTTGAGGTAAAATTGTTCAAAAAGTTTTAAATTTATTGCGCTTTTACTAACTCAGTTTTAAACCTTTTAATTGTGCCAATTGAGTCCTAAACATTTTCACATTTTGCCAATTAAGTCTATCCGACCAATTTGACCGGAAATTGCTGATGTGGACGCCAGTCGTCCGATGTGGTACGAGCAGTACTGACGTGAACAATTTTTAACAATATTTTAATATTATTTTGATTATTTTATTTATTTTTCTTTTTCCCTTTTCTTCTTTTCTTGTCTTTTCCTTCCTTACCTTTCTTTTTAACTGGGCGAGGGTCGTCGGGCCCTCACCGACTGTGGGCGAGGGCTGAGACACCCTCGCCCGCAGCTGCGATGATCTTGGCCGTACTACATAGAACGGCCAGCATCCACGTCAACGATTTCTGATCAAAATTGGCCGGATTGACTCAATTACCAGATTGTCAAAAGATCTACGACTCAATTGACAAAATCGAAAGGTTTAAAACTAAATTGGAAAAAGTGTAAAAGGTTTATAATTTTTTGGACAATTGTTCCTTTGGTTCTATCTTTTTAGAAGCTCCTCCTATTGTCACAATGAATTAGTCAATTGGCTCGAGGCAAACCGGCCGCCACAACCAATGAAAATTAGTCCGACGCTCGAACAGCTCTAGTAATGCATTGTAAATTTGAAGAACGGAGAGAAGAAGATGCTAAATGCATTCTCTGGAAAAAGAAAAAACAAAGGTGTATTGTTTCCCATCTTTGAAGATCACCATGGTGCCGCACGGTGCAGATATCAAGAATCTTATGGTTTCTTTTGATTCCATGTTGTATTATTGCAGGATGATCCTACTAGATTAGACAAATCACATATAAATCAAAGAAACCCGTTCTACAAAATTTTTACACTGTGAATATTGTAGAGGCGAGATATGAATTAATCGGTGTATCGCACACAACTTTTTTATACTCGGTCACAACGAACCCTTATCACGACGTAAAACAATTCCACGACATGTTGCGACACTTTTAGGGTTTAATTACGACAACACGTAACATTATACGGCGCGTTACTGTAGAAATGCCGGGCAATGGGCGGTGGGACTGGCAACCACGTTGCCTCCCATCCCAACCACACATGCATGGCCCCATGCAGTGCTGGTCTTTAGGCAGACAATAGGGTTTGCGCAGAAGCCCCCCGCTTGAGATTGATGGCCGAAAATGGCAGCTTCCCAACGCTAACTTTTCTCTTGGCCATTCCCAAAACCATGCCAAACACCTCTCATTTCTGTCAATCATTCTCTCATTTTCGATCTTTTGCTTGTAGCTCAGATGGAATAGTTTTTCCTCATCCTGGGCTGTTCACAGAAAGATTCTCTCCACATTCCCAAGACCCCACTCACGTCCTGACGAAATCTCCCCATCTTGGGAAAGATTGGTCCCATTTGTTTTCCCTAATCTTTCGGTCTGTCCAGTCGTAGTGGAGTCCACACTTGCCGTGCATTGTCCATGCACCAGATGGTGGCAGAGAAAAACGAATTTAAGTATGAATTCGTCTGATCTGGGTGCATGTTCCCCCCAATCATGAGATGCATGAACCACAGTATGGGTCGTGCCTAGTTAGCTGAGGAGCAAGCTTTGCTTGGATTGGCACAACTTGGGACTAGTGATTTCCCCTAAGGGCCCCGGGCCGCCTGCGTGCTTCTCGACGAGCGATATCGAGAACCGGAAAGTCGCAATTCCCGGGTTTGAAATGAAACGATGGAACTCGGAGATTGCTCTTGATCTTTTTTTCTTTTTATCTTGAGGCGAATTTGAGTTCCGATTCAACCTTTTGTCGAAACTCAGCAAAGCCTTGATATCCATTGATTACAAAGCCGATGGTATAATTTCAGGTGTGGTATATTCACTCAACCAATGATCATTTATCCAAAATTGAAGTCATAGTACTTGACCTGCACATGTTTCTTTTTATTACTCGTCTGCGCCAACCCATAGGCTAGATTTTTAACCCGAGTCCGGAAGATGAAACTCCTCGCCATACCCATCCCAAATTTAGGCCATCAACCAAGCGGACGAGATCGTCTACTCGCGTCAGTGTCTCCATTCGGTGCCCGATTCAACCAAACCGTTGTTTCATACAAACAAAGGTAGTTAGGGAATCTATGACTGGTGCATCAACAGTTGAGATTTGCCGAGGTACCAATAAAGATACTGAGCGAGATATAGGATCCTTGTCCGTCCAATCCAGTGGATAGATAACCTCATGGAGCAAAAACTAGGAAAAGTCGCAGGTGTTTTCTTTCCTCTCTTCGTTTCCTTTTGTCTAAGCTTGGACAATCAGTGGAGCGAAAAGACTTGGACCACAAATTTCTTATCTGAAAGATCTTGCACCTAAGACACATGGGACTAACGTAAGGCTCCACCGTTCCAGGAACCTAAGGATATTGGTAAAAGTTCTAATCTAATAAGCACCAAAGACCAGACGTTTCAGCAATACGATTGCCGTTTCACGCTCTCAGATTCTCCCATGTAGACCATCAAGATTAACCACAGAAAACTTAAAATGCACCTGACATGATATGCAGTGCAACAACGAAACTCAACAATGCCACATCACCAGCCAAATTATAGGCCGACACGTTACAAAGTTTGGGCATGGAAATGAAGAAAGAAATGGGTGGTTTACACAAATGCACAAGTACAGTGGAATGCGCTTTGAATATGCTCAGAACTTTATACATTAATGCCAAATGATCGATTCTTTTTAGATTTTACGTAGGTAAGAAAGCAATCTGGGAAAAAGGGTAAACTTGATTGGAAGTACACAGCTTGCTTGCGGAAAGAAATATTGAGAAAAGAAGTTTATTCATACATGAAAGTCTGCCGATCAACAGTATAGAAAGGAACTCTACGAAGAAAAAAAAATCTTCTCGATGACAATCTCTGGTAAAATAAAATATCAGCAATCAATAACAAAAGTCTAAGAATAGAATTTCTTTAACCTAGATAATCTCACCTGAGTTGATAATCTACCAATAAATTGAAGCCTTTTAGCACCTAATGGTGGGATAGGAGCAGGTCTGCAAAGCCATTGTCCATTCATGCTACAGGATGGTAACATCTGAGCAAAGTTCAAAATAAGATCAGTACATCCCGTTACATGGTACAAGTACCTAAACTTGCAATACTAATTATTGAACTCCGAGGGGACTTTCCCTGTGCCGTTTATGTGAAGGAACATTGAGTGCCAAAAAATTCCACCATGCATCACTAAGGGTCATCGCCAGAGATGCAATTCTTCTCTATAAGAAGCATATGAAAAGCATTAGCAGTATCTATCAACCCAATCTCTCTATAAGCTTCCAAAAGTCGATTGCAGTAAGAATTGTCAAAGCTTGTGATTGTGGCTTGCTTCCATTGGTCAATGACTTCTCCTACCTCTTTCATATGTCCAAGCATCAGATACGAAGACAGAACACACATAAAGTTTCTACTCGTCATCTTTTGTTTAGTCATCCTCAAAGATTTCCATATTTGATCAACTCTCTCCTTCTTTCCCAGGCTGGCATGGAGGATGACAAGAAAATCATACGTAATCCATTCTCTTTGAGTGATTCCCTTCTCAGCTTCAACCAGCCCACCAGACTCTGAGTTCAAAAGTTGACTTGAGATGACATATATTCTTGTGAGTTGCCTATATCTCTTCCAATCTTCATTTGAGTTAGAATCCTGACTCATTTCATCTAATACTCCGTCAACTTCATCAATCCTAAGCGTAGCAGCATATGAACTAATCCAAAGATTGTAGGTGAAGATATCCGGGGCCACTTTCTGGCGTTTCATCTCATCCACAACTGAAGAGACCTTCTCTACCTGTCCAATTGACATGTATAACGTCATCATCTCGTTGTAGATAAGAGCACTGAACGAGAGGTTTGAATCCTTTATTTTCTCGTAAAGATCTGCAGCTTTATCACTCATTTTCAAACTAGCATAACTGTGAAGAAGAGCAGTATAAGTTTCGCTAGTTTTTGCTGATGTAGGTAGACCTTCAAAGTAGCGCTCAGCAGCATCAACACCAAACACCTTTGTCATCAAGTCTATCCGGTCAGCATAATCTTTGTCTGACAACTCATATCCCTCATTGGTAACCATCCACTCCGAAACCTGCATGGGCAACCAATAAAAAGGGTCAAGGCTCATGCATTAAGTTAACAAAAAGGAGGAAAACTCAAAAAGGACAAAAATCTAATTCTATCTCCGGACAACAGACAAAGGGTCCCTCATTTTGCACGATGTTTTCAAAACTGGACTAGTGAGTGAACCAATTAAGCCACCAAGATGGGGTCCAACCACTCCAACCAATTGAAAAATGGAGAGATTATCAGTATGTATGATACTATGTACAGAGTTGCGAGAGAACGGATTTGGCTTGGTGGTTGGACACCCGAAGGCTACACAAAAAGAAGTGGCATGGCAGCAGGTCTGCAACCATAATTGGAGCATTTAGATTCAATTTACTCCTTGTGATCCTTAAGCAGTTAATATCATGTTGGTCCAACTGAATAGCAAGAAATCTCTTTGGCTAGTGGAGGACGCATATCAATGACATTTTCGTAGGAGTGAGAAATCCCTGATTCAAGACTAGGCATTCAACTTAATGCGTTTTTTTTTAATAGAAAACCAGTTTGAACCAGTTTTGACTTGGCTTAAAAGGCCCTGTTTGACCGAGTCATCGCTAGATCTGTTCCAACATTTGACCATTGACGGTGCAATGGTTGAACCAAATCAGACCATGAGCCAAACTCCCTGTCCAATTGGTTGAACCGGCTACTCGATACACATTTAAAAAGTCATTGGTGTTAAACTAACTGCAGCACCAGAAGCCTGCCCTCCCTCCCCCCCTCTCCAAATATGGACTACAAATTAAGATGCTTTAAAAGTATAAGGTCAATGGAAGAGGCACTTTCCATTAAATGAACAGTATGGATTTGATTGCTAAAACTAACTAGTCCCTCGTATTATTCTCTCCACACTTGCAATGACATAGGTAGAACTAAAGGGTGTCAGTAAACCTGGCTGCAATTAAAAAAATGACGTACTCATCAATACAAATACCTTGGCATGGGATATTGTGAAAATGAAAACATGATATGTAAATCACAGTGAAATATCAAATGAGAATCTTCAGCTTTGACATGTCCTAATTTTTCCCACTGTATATTGATGCCACTGAGATGTCTTGACTCACACAAAAACAACAGCCTAGTGAGTAATCTCCATCCGGTGCTCTACTAACTGAGCAGGCAATCCACGAATTGCGAATGCTTTTGAATAAGTCTCATCTTGAACTACAACTTAGAAGTTATTCAATGTGTAGTAAAAGAATTCTTTAGGAACCCTAATGGAGTCTGGTCATGATATAATTACATGGAGTTCTACTGCTTTTTACCATATATCAGGTATACAAATGTCATGAATATGATCATGATCTCAAAAGATTGATGTAGGATCAGATGGCAAGTCTATGATGCTGAGCAAGAACTAAGCATAAAAAGCTACCAAATCTTTGCAGTTTCTAGAGAAGTTATTAAGGACAGTGAGGCTGAGTTCAGAACAGTGCGTTTCTACCTGGTAGTTTGAGTCTTACTGGAGAGCATCAAAACTCTGTGCGAGAGCCTTACATAGTAATATCCTTCTCATGCCAATTGAACTAATCACATCTCTCATATGTCCTCTGATCTCCTCTGCTCTCTTCTCTTTCCCTTCTTGATTAGAATCCCTTTTCCTCTTATCTACACGCACGTCGCTCGGGTCTCCACACTAAAAATTTCTTCTGATGCCCACTAAGTCTTCTCCAGCCCCTTTCTACTGGTGTTATTGCAAAGTCAGGTCTTCCCAGTAGACATCAATTAAACCTTGTTTCACTTTCAACAAGTTCCTCAAATCTTAACCTCGGCATGTATCATATCTATTACATTATCCAGTTCTTATGTATACTCATTTTTCATTCTATCTTATCTTAATTCCTCAACGATCGTATAAAGCAAAACTCTACTCGACTACACCATTTTGCAAATGTCATTCTGGAACAACAGGATTGAACTGCACAAACCATTGCTGGTCCTATCCCTGCCATATTGGATCTGTTATTAAGCTCAAAACTGCATTATCGAGAAGCAAGACTAGGCAAAGCCATCCTAATGTCAATACCATCTTTGCAATGAAAAACTACAAACACAAGAAAAATGATGAAGTATGTGTATCCATCAAAAGAGATTAGACTCTAAAGAACACAACAGATTGTCACTTTCAGCTGTTCTCTATCAGTTCAATTGTTCAGCCACAGATTATACACTCGTGAGCAACCCGGTTCTGCTGGATTCAATCAGATGCTTTTTCCCATCATGCTTCACTTAAATCAAATCAAATAACTTTTCACACAGACTTCACCTGTTAACCCACACGGAGCATACCCATGCCACTTTCGAGTAATGGACAGCATTTTTAACCATTATTCACATCCATACTATATATTATGATTCAAGATGTCACCTTGACGATCAAACTCCATTTCCCTCCATCACGTTTCCACCTCCACCATATCCACAGCGACCAAACGAAAACAAGCGAATCCCACAAAAGAAAAGCAGACAGGGACCCAAGAAACCCGAACCCACCTCGAGAGCATGCTTGTAACGCTGAGACTTCCTCAGCTCCTTAGAGATTTGCCGAAGCTCAGAAGCAGATATCCCATTACCCTCGCCGACCCATTTCTGAATAACGTTCGTCACGCTCCGCTTCGGCAGCCTCAGCCTGAAAATCCTGCTCTTCAAATCGTCGCCCCCTTCGACAACCACGGCATCCTCGACCAACTCGCTCCCCAACCCACCACCCGAAGACAAGAGCCTGCGGGAACCCCATCCGTTTGCAGCTCCGAGACCCTCGACGCATCTCGCCCTGCAGAATGCCAAGAATCAGTATCGAACAACGAGCTCATCTGAAGCTAGAAATGCCCGAATCATGAAAACCCAAGAGCTTGCGAGATGAAAAGAAATACTGGGTATGGCTCTTCTGCTGCTTACCGTCTAAGGGAGAGGAAGAACGCCCGAGAACCCATTGGCGGACTGGTCGCATTCGTGTTCTTGGTTGCGGATTTTGATGGTGTTGATGACCAAGAAGCGCGAACAGCAAGCGCACTTCTGTTGGTTTTGTCGCTCAGGATCGGCGATCGCTCCAATCTTTGAACCGGAGGATTCTTTTCATTTTTTGGTCCGTCCATTTATTTTCCAATCAAGTCTTTCGAACTTTTCTTTTTTATCTAAAGTGATGGAATTTATGTAACTTTTTATGTAACTCTTTTTTGAACTTCTGCTCTAGCTTCTTGGTCCGTGGATTACTTTCATCTATGGTATGTCGATTTGTTTTCCAATCAAAATTTTTCGAACTTTTTATCTAAGTTATTAAATTTGTATGTCAGGTCCGAATTCGATTAATCAGCACCGACATGTTCATCGGTTTCAAAGGTTCGTGTTGAGAACGAGAAATTCCCTCACTCGAGATCTAGCTAGGGTTTTCATCTCGGGTGTTTGGCTTTATATATTAGCTAATATCTCACGATAGCAAAACATTCCGTGTCACACTCTCAATATTTGCTCCAACTAACCAGATTTAATCCGGGATAGGACGACGATAGGTAGGGCTGTTGTCGGGGATGCAACCTAGGTCCCGACGCCGCTATTATGAGAGACGGACCATCCCCGCCCCATTTTCTACGTGAGACATAATTATACACCTCATTCCAAATCCTAGCGGGGTGTGACAGTTTCCGCATTCCCACTTGCTTCTCTCCCAATAATTTCAAGCGTAAAAATTTTAAATTGAATTATTCAACAAACATAATTTAAGTTATGTAATAATCACTGGAAAAAAAAGTTACAAGTTGAATTAATCATTTATGGGAAAAAAAACATGAATTTGGAATTCTTAGATCTATAAGCGTAAAGTTTAGTTTGGAAAATTTCCATGATTAGTTTACGAGAAAAACGAAATAAGTTATTGGAAGCATTCAGTCCATGTTAATATTATGAGAAAATGACACAAATAGTTCATGAACTTTTAATTTGTTCAATGTGGTCCCTGAACTTTAACCCAATATGCAATGTGATCCATGAATTTTTTATTTGTTCAATATCGTCCCTGAACTTTTGGTTCATGTTCAATTTAGTCCTTGAATTATATGAAAATATTCAATGTAGTCCTTCCATTACTTCAAGTTCTGGGACTACATTAAATATTTTCATATAGTTCATGGACTAAATTAAATATATACCAAAAATCCAGAGACCATATTGAACAAATCAAAAGTTTAGGAGCCACATTGAACATTAAACTAAAGTTCAAGGACTTCATTGAACAAATTAAAAGTTTAGGGACTAAATTGTATATTGAGCAAAAATTCATGACCGTTTATGTTATTATACCTAATATTAAAATCTATATGATATATAAGAAATTTTACGTTATCAAAGTAATACAACTTATATTAAAAAACTAGCTTAATACTCGAAATCTCCGAATTTAAACATAGGCACACAGGTAAGGGCAAGGCAAGTTCCTAAAGCTAAGCTGATCATATCCGTACTCACGTCGCCTAGCATGTAGAGAAGGAAAATTCGCTCCCCATTCAGCCAAGAACTCATTGGTTATGGATTCGTTTAATACCACGTAAAACCTTAAACTGGTACACCTATGACAAATTTAATATAAACTAATTTTTTAACTACTAAAAACCCCGAACTAGTACAGTTTGGGGTGCAAATTTTACCCTCAAATTGCTGAGTAGATGACACGTGATAGTTAACAAGTGTACCAGGTTAAGATTTTATCCTTCGTTCGTTTGTCATAGGTGCACTAGTTTGTGATTTTTCGTAATATTAATCTATTTTAACGAAAACTAACGGAGGATAAATTTGTCACAAGTGTACTAGTTTGGGGTTTTTGATAATCAAAAAATTAGTTTGAGATAAATTTGTCACAAGCGTACCAGTTTGAGGTTGTTTGTGGTAAAAAAAATTAATCTGGAGTAAATTTATCACAGGTGTGCAGTTTAGAGTTTTTCGTGGTATTAACTCTTATGGATTTTATTCGGCCCCTTTCTAAATCTCATTTATGTTGAATTTATATCACAATTCCTTGCACATAGAGTTGTCAAAATAGGTCACTAATCTATATATTAACTCATATTTACTAAAATTAATTGTAATGGTTCATCTTAAATTTGAAATATGGGTCTTAATAGGTTTCAAAGAGAAAAATCCATAAGAAATGGGTACGTATGGTGACATTTCTTTTCATAGGAACAATTTTTGTTCAAAAATATTCTTTTTCTATTTCTATTCCCTAGACGAGTTTCTTAGCAGAAGAACGTGTTTGTTAACTGCCCAAAATTTTTATTGCTAAAATAAAAAAATAACATAAATGCGTTTGGTATGACCCTATATATTTCTATTCACTATTTTTTCATTTAATTATAAAAATGTCAATTGAGACTTAATAATTCATGTATAGATAAACTGGACTTTTGTAAGGATTTAACTGATTAAGATATTCTAAGATGGCCTTAGAAAATCCAACGTAATAGTTAGTCAAAGATGGATGGCTGGAAATGGCAGTTCCACTGGTTTATAACTCACAATATGAGGAGGTTGATAGTAAAGCTTTGACATTACAATAAACAAATGCATAGACCGTTCGAGCTTTAGGTTGTAGGGTGCACGGGATAAGGTTTAGGGTGTAGGGTTTTAATGTTTTATGGTGTAGGGTTTAAGGTGTAGGATTTAGGGATTTTGGAGTAGAGTGTAGGGTTTAGGGTTTAAGGTAAGGGTGTGCAAACAACCCGGGACCCACCCGGACCGCCCGGGACCGCTCAGAACTGGACCGGAACCGGTGGTTCCTAAGGGTTTCGGTTCGGTTCCCGGTTCTAATTTTTTGGAACTGGTGGGTACCGGCCCGGTTCCCGGTTCCGGGTGTGGAACTGCCCACCCGCCCACCCGGACCGAGTCGGTATAATATATATAATATAATCTATTTAATTTTTAATTAAAAAAATCCAAAACCCTAAATTAGGATACTCTCTCTCTCACAATCTCACTCTTGGTCGACGCCTCTCAATCTCCGATACTCTCTCCTCTCCGACTTTCACCGTCTCCGTCTCCATCTCTCGGTCTCCGTCTCTGTCAAGTCTGCCGGTCTTCGTCTCCATCTCTTCCACTGCGACTGCTAAGTCTGCTCTCTCGCTATCTCTCTTAGCCGGTTGTCCTCTGCATTTGCTGCTCTCTTGATTCTCTGCGGGGTGTGGCTTCATTTTGCCTGAATGTGGGGGTCTACGTGTGTGAAGAAACGCGTGCACTTTGCTGGGCTTTGGATGTTATGCTGCATGAATTCTTCTTTCGTGTGTTTCAGTGCTTCGGTAGCGTCTCTGTTTCGTGCGAATTCCTCTTTTGCGTGTTTCGGTGCTTTGGTAGCATCTCTGTTTTGTGCGATTCTCGATGAGGGTTGGTCAAATTCGCCGGTTATCCTCTGCATTTGGGTTGTAAATAGGTAGTTTAGTTGGAGAAACTCTTCGGTAGCATCTCTGTTTCGTGCAATTCTCGACGTGGGTTGGTCAAATTCGCCGGTTGTCCTCTGCATTTGCTGCTCTGGGTTGTAAGTGGGTAGTTTAGTTGGAGAAACTCTTCGGTAGCATCTCTATTTCATGCGATTCTCGACGTGGGTTCGTCAAATTCGCCGGTTGTCCTCTGCATTTGCTGCTCTGAGTTGTAAATGGGTATTTTAGCTGGAGAAACTACCATTAAAAATCATTTACAGAATGATGCACTTAGATGGGCAAGCTTGGAATGGGCTGAAATTTGGTTAGTTGTGTGGAAACAGGCCGCTGATCAATACTCACGGCCTTTGGCCGTGATGGATGTGACATCCTGAAATTGCCCATTTGGGATTTATGAAATGAGTGATTTTATGAACGTACTTGTAGCTAGGTCTCGCTCGGAACTGGCCATTCCTGGGATACTAACCGTTAGGGAAGGGCTAATTAGGGATTTAAATTCACGCGACTAAAGAAATTCGGTCGTGAACTGACTTTCAACAATAGAATCGTCGAGGTGACATTTTGAGCTAATGTAGGCCGATCTTAGGATAGTTATGGGCCAGTTCGTCATTGTCATACGAGTGGATCACGGGTGATTTCATTTGACCATGAGGTGAGTTGACGAACGATCTAGAATCTATATCGAACGATCGCGCCGACGGAACTAGCGATCGATCCTCGCGATTATATTGACAACCGAGGTGGTCACGATCCGAACGAACTTGCACGTGACTTGATTTAGTATCAGTCACGGGTCGAATATGTGAATTTCCCCAAAAGCCGCCCGTTAGTCCGAGACACGCTCAAGTTACGTTAATTAAAATTCAGTTATTAAATTAGAGACCAATTTAGGCATTGAAAATTTAGGAAGTCACGACAGGACATTTGGACGACGTTGTTATTAGCATGTTCAGTCTTGGATTTTCCCGGATCCTTCAGAAAAATTAAATTTCGGCGAAGGATGGAAAATGACCGTTTTACCCTTAAGAGTTTATTAAGGACAAGTGTTAAAGGAGAAGGGCATTTTGGTCATTTTGCCCTAACTTTAGAAATGGACAATTATACCCTTGGAATTTTATAAAATTCCCAAATTGCCCTTGGATATTTTGGAAAAAATTCGATCTCAGCCGTCGATTTCAAGATAAGATCGAATCTCGGCCGTTGATTAAAAAGATTAAAGAGGGGCAAGATAGTAATTTGCCATAAAGTGGTCAAAATTGGACTTTTAAGTCCAAATTTCTCTCTCTCTCTCCTCATTCTCTTTCTTCTCCCTTCGGCAGCCTCTCCCCCTCCCTCACCATGAGCTCTCTCTCTCCCCATCTCCCCGGCCGATCGTCCCCCTTGGCCGCATGCCACCGTCCACCGCGCCGTTGCCGCCGCTAGCCGCCAAGCCGCCGCGCCAATCACCGCCGCCGCACGGACCGCCGATCACCGCCTGTTTTCCCGCTCTAGCCTAGTTAGTCTAGAGTCCGGTAAGTCGCAATCTAACCCTTGCCTAGGACATCGGGTATTATCGGACTCGTTTAGACGCGGTGTAGGGTAGTTTAGGGGTGGATTAGGGTGTTGATTGTGATTGTTGGTGGCTGGTCATGGCTGTTAATAGCTGTTGCGTGTTGGATTAGACATCTGGAAATGA